GGCTACGCCTTTACCTCTTTTCGCAACTCGGCCTCCACGGCACGCACACGACAGAAATCTGTAGGAAATTAGGGTAAGATATCTCAGATTTTCGCCCAACATATTCAACTTCTCTGACTTTCTTTGATCAAATCTGAAGCTTTCAGCCCTCACGAGACTATCTTCCTTTTCCTCGTCGGACAGAGCCATCAAATTCACCAACCTTTAAGATGCTTTCTTTATCTTGTGAGCGACCAACAACTGCAACTACAGAGCCTGCACATATAGAATTTGCAGCAGGTAATTTTTCTGGTTTTTGCTTTGTGCTTTCGAATTCACCATATAGGTTTACTTTCAAACCCAGATTTTACAATTTGGCTATATTTGGACTCACCGTTGTTTATCCACTATATTCTATTCTTCAACAACTGATTAATGTTTGAAAAACATATTCTGAGTTTTGAAGTGATTGTAATCCCAAGAAGACTCAACAATATAGAGACTGAGAAAGTTAAAAGAGGAAAGCGGTTGTCGAGTGCGAGGCCCTCAAAGGGAAGCTCGACGAGACTGACTTTGTTGTCATGAAGCTGTTCGAGCTTAAGAAGAGCATCGACGATAAACCTATTTTTAAGAAAAGTCAACGTCTTTGATCTTAGAGAATGAGGGGAGTTTGAGGAATAGATGGGTGTCCAAGCAGGCCCGAAGGCTGTCCGAGAAGATTGGGATGCTGCAATTGGAAGGGCAGAGGTTGCAATTTGTCTTGATGAAGATGGATGATATGATAGAAGGGAGGAATAGGATGTAGGAGGGAGAAAAAAAAAATATGGCTGAAGGATTATATGTAAGGAAGGACGGGACATGGACATAGGTGTAAGAAGACGTAGTTTTGTGATTGCTTCTGGGTTTTGGCTGTCGACGAGTGAGCTACTGGTATGCGTGTTTTCGTGTTAACTAAAAGTTTTGTTTAAGTAACATTGCTTCTTCTTTGTTTATAAATGGGATTATGTTTAGTTACAAGTGACCTTTTTGTACCGGTTTATATATTATTATCATTTAACTTTGTTCGGGACTTATATTGGAGGTTTAATGTGCTTTTAACCCATTATTGTTGTCATGTGGTTACTTTGTTGAAGGTGAATGGTTAAGGAATGCATTCCGGTGGAAATAAACTATCAGACCATGGGTGGGAAGGTTGGGCCATTTTGATTATGTTCGACATTATTGTGTTCAACAATGGTTATTTTTAATTTAATTATTGTTTTTATTTTTCGTTAGTATAATTTGTCTAAACTCTTTTTTGATTGATTGCTTTTTGACCTTTACAATATCTGTAATGTAATTGTCAGACAAAATGATCAAGTCGATACTTCCAACATTGCACCATTTTTACAGGTAGAGTCCTTTTATTAAACTGTTGAAAAAGTTGTATGCAGTTGAGATATTCAATCAAGTTCAATCTTATTCAACAATAAATGGAAACACTTTTATTTATCAATTTTTCTACTATGAACTTTGGTCATTTGTTTTTTTTTTTTTAATTTAAGAGTCTTTTGACCTCAACCTTATGGGTGGTCTAACATATATATTTATGGTTCTCGAGAGTTAGTCCTTTTGCATTTCAATAGTTTCACTGTTTACAATTAACTGCAAGAAAATTTGGATAATATTGAGTTTGCCAGAGGTGATTCTAAGTCAAAATGGGGTTCTATCGAGCTGCATTGGGCCATTTGAAACACTTCGTGTGAAACAGGTGAGGAAACTGTTACCTTCTTTTGAGTATATTCTTGAATTGTTCAGGGGATTGATGGTGGATGTGTGAGTTTCAAATTTAAAAAAAAATAAAAAAAATAAAAAAAAAAAATTGTCGTGCATGCAATGGAAATGAATGTGACGTTGAAAAGGGATGCCATTGATTGCTTTGTCCAGATAGTCGGTGTCCGGATTAAGGATGTGGGCAAAAGAGGGATCCTTTTTAGATCCATTATATGGATGATATTCTTTGGCGACCTGGAAAGTTTCCTTCAGGGGATGTTTTATTTGGTCAACTGATATATCTTAAATCAGTTATAATATATTTTTTTGTCATTTTGGGTGAAAATACTTATAATGTACAGTGGTATTGTGTTTAGGGGCTGAGTTACCAGCTAGCTGCATTCGAGTCTAGATAAGACTTGGGTTTGCTGGCACACATAAGTTGTTTGAAAGGTGTGTGAGATTTCGTCGAAGTTCCCCATCGTTGGTATTCTGAGATTGTTTTAATAAACCATGAAGTCATTTAGACTAATGGCATTTTTTTGGGCCGAGTAAAACCATATCCAATGGGGAGGATCTAAATAAGACCTGTAAAATACTGAGTACCTGGCCCATTCATAGTCAATTGTATGGTTGATCAAGTGAAAAAAAAAAAAAAAATCTGAGAATTTACCTCTTACATTATATAAAGATGTATACAAGGTCTTATTTTATATATGGTTTGTGATTATAGCCTTTTAATATTGTTTTTGTAAAAGTGTTCTGGTTTCTTAACTATTAAGGTGTGAATTTACTAATCTTGTTTCACCAAGTTGTATGGGTTGTGTTTGCTTCTGTGAATGTAGCGAGGGTACGATTCTGCATGCGGACTTATATTTTTCAAAGATATTTTTGGTGTTCTTCTTTCGTTTTTGCATATGCATTTGTGTATTTTTTTTTATGCATTATCTGAAATGTCCCTACAAAAATGGTAGGGTACATATTGATTAGGGTATTTTTATTTTTATTTTTTTTGTTTTATTGTTTTATTATTCATAAATATATGTTGTGTTCAAAAGAAATTAAGGTTCTTGTACTGTGTATTAAATTAGGAGTTTATCATTTTTCTAAAATGCATAAATTTGATTGATTATTTAGTTTATTTTATTATAGAAAAACTGGATTAAATATTTGTTAAATATGTATCTGTATTTTTATTTTGGTTGAGTGTGGTGGAGGTAGGGTATGTGTTAAACCAAAAAATCTAGGCAGGAGTAGTTACAAGTCCCACTCTCAATTTGTTCTTCGTGACTGCCTTTCAAGTTCAGGGCATTGGAGCTTATGTGACGCCCCGTTCGTTTATGAATAATTTGGATTATTGTTATTATTATTATTATTTTTATCATTATTTGTGGCTATTATTATTGAATGTTAATTGTCTAAATGCTTAAATATTTTTTATGTACCTAATTGTGTTTATTATATATATATTAATTGTGGTATTTTATTTTAAATATTAAATACTATTTTAAATATTTTAATTATTATTATTGTAATTTTATTTCGTCAAACTGAGCATGTTCGAACCCCTCCGAAACCGCGCGCCCGTGAGCCGAGCTCGCGCCTAGGCGGCCGCCCCTCCCCTTCTTTCCTTGTTTGTGATGTGGTTTATGTTGGCAAGTGACTTGTAGGTTAAGTCACAATCCCTAGCTATATATATGGGAGAAGACATCCCTCTCCCCTCATCTTTTTTTTTTTT